ATTAGGTTATTCCTTAACTTATCTCACAGGCGGAGAGTGTTTAAGTGTAACTGTACCTTATGATTGGCTATTTGGTTTGTGTACTGTGGGAGGTCCTCCTGCAAGGGGACCTCCATAAAAGCCTGTGTAGTCTCAATAAACATCAGTCTTGTTACATCCTTCATCATGTTTCGGCTGGTGTTTGGGTACCTGATTACTACTTGGGGAAAGCTGTACTAGAGGATTTCATTTCTTTGGACTTTAACTACCGACCAGAAGAACCGGACGGTGAGCTATAATCACTCTGGCTCTCGGTCGTTCGGCTCAATTCATACAAACCCATAGCTACCACTTCAGGGTTCATTACAGGCATGAATTTCATGGAACTAAAATCGCACACAGAAACTCCCGAACACCGCTGGACTTCCATCATTGCCTGCATTCGGTTCTATACAACTTAGAAGGGCACTGTTCAGTGAAATAATTTGTCTGGATGAGGGGAACAAGCTCCAGGGTAAGACTATTGACTCTGTTTGGTAGTTTTCAAACTAGCGAACTAAACCCACCACAAGCCCTGATTCTCTGGGAGTGTTTCGGGCATGGAACCATGCCTGCGGTCGGTCAAATAAATGACTTCCAGGAAATTCCTGAACCCCTGAACTGATCTGGGTGATTTTTGGATATGTTGGTCACCCAGATCAGGGCTATCAGGGGATGTTTTGTGAGGTTATGTGTTTTTGGGGTACTTTCGGGATGTTTGGAAAAAAGTATGTTTTTCTGTACTTGGAGATAATTGGATTATATTAATACAGTTCCTGATCCAATTATCTCACAAGCACAGAGGAGGAATTATCTGTTTATGTATGGGAGTGTCCTGGATCTGAGAGCCAATGTAATTGTGTGTTTGTTTCTGCTGTAGTTTACTCTCAGGTCCAGGGGGGAGTGCCACTTGCTTGGGGATTGTCATAAAAGGCCAAGTGTGGCCCCATTAAAATCAGTTCACTTCACCCTCAACACACAGCCTTGTCTCATGATTGTAGGGAACAGCTATACCAGCTATACCTGCTTCAAATTGCTATACTGGCTATAATCACTAGCTCTTGTAAGAGCTATACAGCTATGCCTGCTATACTCTCTTGGAGGAGAGGCCTGGGAGCTGCATCCAGGAGTTTGGTACAGGGTGGGAAGGGACTGCGAGACCCCAGCCAAGCTACGACGGTTAAGGGGCTAGGGTGCTTATGGTGTCTGGTGCAGTGCTTATAGTACTTAAAGGCTACTAGGAAGCAGCGATTGGCAGAGGCACCAAGTCGGGGTGTCAGGCGGTCCGTCACTGTCACAACAGCATTTCATGCATTATTCTAATTGCATCACCTCCCATATGGTAAAATGTAGGAAACAAAAAGTGCAAGTAGAACAAGAAGAGAATTCCTCCCCTTATAAGGCGTGCAGTACTAATGCTTAATCTTCTTTAATAGATTAACCACCACTGCATAACCTTCCTTTACGAAAGCACAATGTTGGATATTAAGTAAAAAAATAATAATTGACTTGTAATTTTTTGCATGTTTGAAGCAAGGTACCAAATGAGGACCTATTGTCTCTGTGCATACACACAATTCAAGAGCGGTTGCAGTGAGCATGCACAGTCCTGTACTCCTGGAAAACATGGAGCTAAAACCGTGCTCCAAACAAAGAGAAAGTAACAATACAAAATTAACAATTACAAAACGTATCTATACAAAAAAATACTACCCATACATCACATAGCTACAAAAATAAACAGGATAATTGTTGCAATCAGTATATAGAGACAGAAAACCGATCATGGTTTGCATGTCTAGACTTTGTGTATTATTTACCACTCAAGCAAAAAGTGTAATAAATATGACAATAAGTGATAACCACAATAAGTAATAACCATAAACATAAAGCAATACTGTGCTGTACTGAGTGGATATGTCATAACCACATATCTTATATTAATTAAAACAATCAGCGCAATAATGTAATAAAACTACTGTCTCCTAAAGACTAGGTGAAATGACTACCAAAGGAAAGCTTCGTAATGCTTAGTTGCAAAGAATGAATGAATGAATGAATGAATAGACTACACATTTTCTTAATTTTCAGGTCAGAATTGATTCTGCTTCAAGGGAAGAATAGTATTATTTCCAACAGAAAAGTTAAACATTTTCATACCCCAAAGAAGTCAAAAGACAAAATACAGCTCACAGGTGAATATACTATGAGATTCATCTTACCACCACCATTACGTGCTGAGCTACAATACAAGATTATTTATCCAGAGCAATTGATAACTCAGTGGTTAACGTCAGTGGATCTGGCTTCAGAGATAGACCTTCTAACACATTTCTAGAGGGTTTCTTAATTTTATGCAATGCCATAATAAGTTTGAGATCACTTTGTGGTTACCATACTCCGCACACTGCTTTGTTTACTAATTCTTAAATTGACCACAAATTATTATTTACAGTAAATTCTCTAGAATTATCACCTTATGGAAACCATTACGGAACCATTGCACCTGGAAACATGCTGACCTCAACACAAAACTTACCATATATAACTAAATAGGGGAAAAACTCACAGTTAATGAGTAACTCCTGGTACTAGATTGATGTAAAGCAGAAGAGTAGCTTGGCTTGAAAAAGATGTATTTCAGGCGGAAACATCACTTTGTTATTATTTTGGTATCCAAAGAAAATGACACATATTTTGAGAAAGCATTAGACATTAGACTATATCTTTGTTTTTGAAGCTTATCAATGGTCTTGATTATTCAGTTTCTGTGGTTTTCTTATTATTTGTTGCAACATAGGGGACCGAGACACTGGAATGTTTCTATGGAGAATGGGAGATGATTTAGAGAAAGACTGGAAGAGTTAGAGAATCTGATGAGATAATGGAGCTATGTAGGTTCATAGTCGAAAAGAATGTCATAGTGTTGAATATAATTTGGTGTGAGGAGTAAAATAAGGAACGTGTCAATACTGAGGGAAGGATGAAATGAGGGAAGAGAAGAATTGAAAAAGTAAGGATCGGAGACCCTTAGGGACTAGAGAAATGAGACTAGAAAGAAATAATTGAAAAAAATAGATACAGTTAAATATGAACAGTACATTTGAAATCACAACTAACAAATGTTAAGTTCATACGAAAAAAAATATATTAATATTAAAACTACATAAACATGCCAATTTTCACAGCTGGTCATCCAAATGTGTAAATGAACATAAAAATAAATTATAATTAAGTAAAATTCACATACACATACATCACCAAACTAAAAGCCCAAGCGAGTTCCATAGGCTTGAAACCAAAACTACATTCTGGAGTGGATGTAGTTTGTAGGAATAAATATAATTGGGGAGCCCACTGCAGAATCCGCTATACAAACAAACCAAAAATAAAATTTGGTAACTATGTTGTAGTAGTGGAAAAAGCATGATTTGACTAAATAACCATATGTATTATGTCATTTTACAAGATGTGTATCTTGTATAATATGAGCCTATGGTGCGTAACTTCATTTTGCGTTCCAAAAATAGAATGGGAAATTATAACCAAAAAATAAGTTTGAATGACTCTTGGTTGTTCTTTTTTGACATCTTGCATGCAAAGCAATTATTATGAACATTTTAGCAGTCAATTATTATGAAGTGCCCTTGTGATGAGATCACGAAGATATGTAGGCATCTGCTTTAAATTCTACTAATAACATAGTTGTGTTGTTATTTAGTTACATGTGAATTGTTGTTATTTGTGAAATAAATTGGAACATGTAGGCCTATAAATGCTTCCTTGTCTCTTCCGCTTTCCTACTCTGACTTTCTTTTTTCAATGTTCAGCTATTTCTAACTAAGAAAATAAGAAGGGACTACTTTTTCTGGTGTATTTTTCCTATGCCTGACTTTCTTAGACACTGAGCGGAGCTACCACCATCTAGAAGTGTCAAAATCCCCACAGCTGTCACCAGGGAACTGGCTCTGTCTATGGAGGATCCCACGGTCTTACGGTATCCTTCATAGACCTCAATGCTGTACTCCTGCGCCAGAAGAAAATGGCAGCACCTGCAAGGGACAGGTTCAGTTAATACAACTCACCTTTCCCTGTCCCACCGGTTATCGCCCCCTCCCCCCCCTGCAGTGATGTCACCTTTGGAGGTCTTTGCAAATTCGGCAAAGAACCCAGACAGTGACAGTGGTGCTTTAAAGACTTTTTCTGACTGTTTATTGGCATTAATTTAGCAATTTTGTTAATGAACATTTTTTATGTATTAAGCACATTACATTTTATGTAAATGCTGTTTTAGTGACACTACCCCTTTAAGGTAAGCTAAGCACTTTGGTGTCTCTAATAGAAGCATAAATCTATCTTACCATTTATGAGGCTTTGAAAAGGTCAACAGGGTGTAATTTACTAAAAATGAGTGAGACTTAATTTGTTTAGCTAATAAATTGGCTTGGCATAAGCGTCTCATTGCATTTGGTGACAGCTGCCTCTAAGCAATGACATGCGTCCTAGATTCTCCTAATCAAACTAAATACCCAAAAATATTAATTAATTTTAATGTCCTATGGGAATTCCATCTAAATTTCAACAAACCATCCACCGTTAAAGAAGGTTACTTATAATTAAAGGGACAGAAACAATTACTGATAAAAAACAACTTCAGATGCTTTAAAAAAAATCATAGCAAAATTATTACATAGACATAGAAATATAGAATGTGACTGCAGATAAGAACCATTCGGCCCATCTAGTCTGCCCAATTTTCTAAATAGAAGACAATCTCAGGCAAGTGGATATTTCTGTATGATCTCAGGAATTGCACAGAAGCCTTTTTGGTTAGATTTAGACAAATAGTTGCAGCAAATTCAGTTTGCTTCTGAATTTGAAATGGGTTGAGTAGAATACTAGTAATGAAAATTTTCCCAGTTTAAGGAGCTCAATAATATTTGGGATGGTTAAAACCACCAGTGTCATATGAGGACACCATGTACTAGGAGTGGGGTTTGAACACACACGGACATTTGTCCATTAGATCTTAAGTCCTACACCTTAATCACTCGGCCATCCTGGTGTCACTTTAATTTGTTGATGACACCCCAACATGTTGTTAAGAGCTTACTTTGCCACTGGTATGCATATCAGTATGAATATCTTTTAAATCATACTACGAGCCACTCATCACTAATCAAGAATCCACCATGAGGATCTTAAGTTCACATGCTTCTTAGACCTTGCTCTTGTTCTGCCTAACGTAAGTAGTCGGTTTGTTAATAGTTTGACAACTTACCTGATGTCCACCAGCTGCTGATCACTTCCACCAGTGAGGAACTTCTATTAGCTTTTCTGAGCTAAGCCGTGCCGTGCAGAGCCAGCCCATTGGCTGAGAATGTTAGCTGATAAGGCTAAGCCCTGCACTGTTGGGCTGAGCACAAAATAGGGAGCTTCTTGAGAATGTGACTGATGCCAAATAGACCCCAGGATAAGTTGTCAAACTGTCAGTGCACTGTAGTAGTTATGGTTTTTGGAGTGTTCCTTTAAGAATAATTTGAATAGATTAAGAATTGAGCGAAAGAAAATTATGATGAACGATGATGAGGACAGTGTTACAAGTAGGGTCTGAAAAGAAAGTAGTTAGTAAAACTTTCCACTAAGCTTAATGTAAGCTGTCACCAAAAGGATACGGAGCACTTGAACTATACGGAAGAAATTAAATGTTCTCTAATATTCAATGTACAAAGTACAAAAAAATACACACAATTACAATTGTGCAAAATTTGATGTAAAATGTGTGTATATTATATTTTGGCGTAGAATGAAAAGTGCTTTTAGCGGGGTAATTTACCACCCGCCATGTATTCTACTGACCTGACACATAGAACTAGCAATTCACCTAGCATACCACATATATACATACATACAATCACATACATACAAGTACAGTGACACCAATAGCTGCCTATTCGGAATTTAGAATTTAGGGGAAAGAAGATCCCACTAATATGGAAAAGTGAATGTGGGAAGAAGATAGCGGCAATAGAAATAATGAAACTGGTCACCTAGGCCATAGGGCATCTAGGTACTAGCCCTAATTATTGTTGGAAACCACACAACCATGTCAGTGTTGTTCTTTACTAGTTAGTTATTCAAGTTAGGGCATCGCACTGAGCATGCAATCCCAAACTACAAACCCAACTCAGTTAGATTGCATCAAGCAGACCTATAGCCACCTTGCTATGTTTGCAATTAACAGTTGGCCATTTTTCTAGATCTGTCTGAATTTACCCAAGCTGATGAGTGTACGGTGGCTGTACGTTGACTGCAGTAGTTGTCTTTAGTGACTAGTTAACATGGCTATTCTATAGATCATTGTCCAAGGCAGTTGTCAAATTGAAAAGAACTTGACATTTTGTAGACCCCTGTTGTCTATTTTCTTATTTAAGCATGCTGCTTCCTACCTTTAAAACATGCACAAATATAATGAAATATAATGAACACTAACAACCACTAAATAATATCCAAGGTTTAAATCCCATTTACACATGCAGCTTGGAAACTGACATTTTGGCATTTTTAGAATTCTGTTACTTGCCTTCTATAACGTTGAAACCCTAAAAGTGGCAAAATGATAATTAGCATCTCTATATCACATTTGATTCATACTGCTAATTAGCAGTCTGACATGACTCACCTTTGCAGCTGCATTTACTATTGTGATTTTGAGACAGCAAAGATAAATTACCCTTTCCAGCTGTGTTTCCTTTATTAGATCACACTCTATATATTTAACTGTTCAACTGGCCTAGAACCAACAAATTACTAAAACTAACAGGAAAACCAAAAAAAAAAAAAAAACAACTGGTCATTAATAGTGAGATAATGAAAGCAATACTCTATCTAGAATTGTTTGCTTTAAAAATGGTGTGTGTGTGTGTGTGTGTGTATGTGTGTGTGTGTATATGTGTGTATGTATGTGTATGTGTGTGCTGAGTGTGTGTGTGTGTATGTATGTGTGTGTGTGTGTGTATGTATGTCTATTTGTGTATGTATGTATATATATTATTTTACTGTTTGTATTATTATTATTATTATTATTATTATGGAAATTGCCATAAAGTGATGCAATCCAGGATTAAAATAATCATAAATTACCCTCAGGCAAGCTGATACAGTTATGAAGTCCCAACAAATCACTGTGTATAAATCTTACTAGGGGTACTTGAGAGTTCAATCTTCCAGTTGGAAAACTGGTGTTTAAAGATCCATCCCTTTAAGCATGTTTAAATCATCGTGATCATTTCATAGTTTAATCACATTGAGTGTTTATTGTTTAGGGTTTTATCACAATGTGATAAATATTAATTAAAATGGAATATAGTATGGCAATTACTGAAACTTGTTGGAGAAACCATTGCACATCAATGGAGTTAACTCTATAATATGTATCACAAATGTAAGAAAACAGCAATGTAAAGATATTTCATTTATATGCACTTTTTATTTGTATTTAATTATTATGTATTATTTGATTGCCATTCACCCTATAACCTCTTCCCATAATTTTAGATTATCTTGTTTCTTTAACGTTGGATATATTAGTCAAACAGTCCACTTTTATATATATTTATAATACATTTCTATATATTTAAATCTAAGTTTGTGGATGATGTATCATCTTGTCCATTTACTATATATTGTTTGATAAAAGTCCCACCTGATTGCCCCTTTTAATAAATCCCAAGATGTGTTTAGCATTTGCTTTGTCCCAGCCTTACTATTCAGAGGCTTACAGATAAAGGGGCATGTTAGATAGAATTTTATCATGTGTGTTCAGGCTTTGCACATATCTTAATGCATCATAACGAAGTGCCAACAAAAATAAAAAAGATAACAAGAAAAAATCGAACACGGTAAACATTCTGCTCTAGAGAAATATATAGCAGAAAAAAATTCTATTGCCTTGAGAAAAAAAAATTAAATATATCCTTGGTATAGTGTGCCTTAAAATCTGTACCATTTTTCCAAATAACAACCATCACTATTTTTGTTATGTTTTTTTTGTTTGTTTGTTTTTACTTTTGTTTGTTGTTGTCATTTTTTTCACAACATGTTTTCACAACAGGGAGAATATAAATGAACAAGCTGGATTTTCCCAGTGCATCATTTTCTTTCCCCCACTGTTTTGCATTTCCCCCTCTACTGTGGTTGTGAAAGGGTTAAACAAGACAGTGCACGTGTTGATGGGTCTTTAAGAGTTTGTAGGAAGACTAATTATCGCTGGGATAGGAAGCTGGAACACCCAAGAAGATCTGTCTCCCAGGATACTGATGGAGACCTATTTTACAAGCTGTAATTCTGCTTAGCCTTTTGCTTGGGAAGACAGTTCACAACTATCCCTGGTTTATCTTCTATTCTCCTAAAATATTTTCTAATCCTATATTTCAGCAGGAGAATCTCCCATCTTCACACCCCCTCCATCCACAGCACACAGAGCTAAAACCACACAAACAGGTGTGTGCTGGCAGAGGTTTTAGCTCAGACACCTCTAAACTGAGCATGTAAACCCTTAGTAACTGTTTAACAAGACACAGTTACACAGCAGGACACTATTAGGCTATTTTAGTGGGGGCTTGGGAAAAATGAGAAAATTGTGGTTTGGGTTTCGAGATTTCTTGATCAGTTCATTTTAAGTCAAGTGCATTTAACAGGATGAGGGAGAGAGAATGATAGGAATGAAACATGGGGAAGAGAGAACAGAGGGATAGCATATAAGAGATATAAGAGAGTAAAGGAGACTGGAAAGAGACTGCATCGGATAGACAGAATGGGAGAGCGGGAATGATGGAGAAATAGAAAAGAGAAGGGAAATGAGATAGTGTGTATGTGTGTTAGAGAAAATGTGTGTGTGCGCGAGTGTTAGAGAAAGTATGTGTGGTGTGTGTGTGTGTATGTGTGTTTGTGTGTGTGTGTATGTGTGTGTGTGTGCATGTGTGTGTTAGAGAATGTGTGGGTGTATCTGTATGTTTGTTAGAGAAAGTGTGTGTGTGTGTGTGTGTGTTTGTGTTTGTTAGGAAAAGTGTATGCATCTGTGTGTGTGTGTATGCATGTGTGTGTATGCATGTGTGTGTGTGTGTGTGTGTTAGAGAATTTGTGGGTGTGTTTGTATGTTTGTTAGAGAAAGTGTGTGCATGTGCATGTGTGTGTGTGTGTGTGTTAGAGAAAATTTGTGCATATGTGTGTTAGAGAATGTGTGGGTGTTTTTGTGTGTTTGTAAGAGAAAGTGTGTGTGTGTGTGTATGTGTGTGTTAGAAAATGTGTGGGTATGTTTGTGTGTTTGTTAGAGAAAGTGTGTGTGTCTGTCTGGTGTGTGTGTGTGTGTGTGTTAGAGAGAGAAGAGAGAGATTTCCATGCAATGTTTACTCTATAGACCTTTTGCTGTCTGTGTCTGTGTCTGTGTCTGTGTGTGTGTGTGTGTATGTGTGTGTGTGTGTGTGTGTATGTGTGTGTTAGAGAATGTGTGGGTGTGTTTGTGTGTTTGTGTGTTTGTTAGAGAAAGTGTGTGTGTGTCTGTCTGGTGTGTGTGTGTGTGTGTGTGTATGTGTGTGTGTGTTAGAGAGAGAGAGAGAAGAGAGAGATTCCCATGCAATGTTTACTCTATAGACCTTTTGCTGTTGCTGTTAGCCCGGATTGTGTGTTTGTTAGAGAAAGTGTGTGTGTCTGTCTGGTGTGTGTGTGTGTGTGTGTGTGTGTGTGTGTGTGTGTGTGTGTGTGTGTGTGTGTGTGTGTGTGTGTGTGTGTGTGTGTGTGTTAGAGAATGTGTGTGTGTGTGTGTGTGTGGGGTGTGTGTGTGTGTGTGTTAGAGAGAGAGAGAGAAGAGAGAGATTCCCATGCAATGTTTACTCTATAGACCTTTTGCTGTTGCTGTTAGCCCGGATTGTGTGTTTGTTAGAGAAAGTGTGTCTGTCTGTCTGTCTGGTGTGTGTGTGTGTGTGTGTCTGTGTCTGTGTCTGTGTGTGTGTGTGTGTGTGTGTGTGTGTGTGTGTGTGTGTGTTAGAGAGAGAGGGAGAAGAGAGA